CTATAATCACCACCGCGTCAAGGTCCAACGACGAGTACTGCAAGAGAGCTGGTGCGACGCATGTCATCGACTACCATGTGACACCCTATTCCGCGCTTTACGCCGCTGTCGCCGACATCACTCCCAAGCCTATCAGCTATGTCTACGACGCCATCTCTTTGGACGAGTCGCAAAAGGCATCGTGGGAGATCCTCAGTCCCGGCGGCACGGTGACGTTTACTTTGCTGCCAAAGGTCGGGAAAGAAGGTGAGGTCGTCGAAGGGAAGCGAGCAGTGTATGTGCATGCAAACGTGAATGAGAAATCCAACCACAACATTGGAAATGCGCTTTACGCGAATCTTACGCAGTGGATCGAGGAAGGCGTCATTCGCGTGAGTCTTCCCTTTGTTCTTTTCGGGCGTGTCTTTTGACGAGGTCTTCCGACAGCCGAACAAGGTCGAAGTCGTTGAAGGCGGACTGGGGAATGTGTCGAGTCATTTGCAGAGACTGAAGAAAGGCCAAGTGAGCGGGCTGAAACTCGTCGTTCACCCGCAGGAGACTCCGTGAATGTCACAATTTTGTACAAGGTAGAAGTCGACAATGGAATACAACAGTGTACACTATGGATACAACAACGTAGATGGTGAGACAGATAGCAGATACATAGCGGTACAGCAACGAAGAAAGCAATACAAAGCATCCGCTCGCGCCAAGGAAAGCTCCCAGCCACGACCCCGACCCCGACCTCTACCAAGCGTGCACCCTGCGGACGGTGATGACAAGTTTCCCGTCTGCTTCAACCTTGGCGCGGAGCGTCGACATGTCGACCGTGCGTGGTTCAAACGCGAAGTCCCACTCGAAGTGGCCTTTGTCAGAGTGAGTCAGCCAAAGACTATTCAAACAAAGCAGGCAAAGGTACAAAGACACAAAGGAAAGAAGACTCACAGTCCTGCTCAAGATGCCAGGCATCCGCAATGATCCCCAGCCGGTCTCCCTTCTTCGCTGCGATCGTCACCATCTCCGCGCAGAACGGTTTCCCGCCCGGGCATGGCAGCGGGATCTCGACGACCTGCATCCCGTCGACGTTCCGCGTGTGCACCGACGGCGCACACGTCCGTGGTGGTGCACGGCGCCGGCGCGCACATGGTGACTCGGGGGGCAAAAGGCCCCGCGATGATCGCGTCGTCGAGCCCAAGCTTGCCGCGTCGCTGGAGGCTGGTGGAGGGGTACGAGGCGGCGGATCGTCCATGGGCACGATCGTGCCCGAGCCCTGTTTGAGGTGGAGAAGAGGTGGGCGCGTCGCAGTCTTCCGAGAAGCCATAGTTGGGAAGCTCTCGCTCTCGGTCAGACTGGACGTTGGCGTGCTGAGGGCGGTGGAGGTTGCCGAAGAGGATCCCGAGGCGAGTGTCGGCGCCTGAGAAGTTGAGGAGATCGAGGAGAGCATGGCTGGCTGGCCAGCAGACATTATGCGGAGAAAGGAGCGTCGAGGGGCGGAGGAGGGTGCACGCTGCTTGGTTCTAACAGAGAGGCTCATGCTGCGTTTATAAGGACCGTTCACTGTGGCCGGCAACACGTGGTTTGTGGATATGAACGACTGGTGGCTTGGTGGCCTGCAGGGCCACAACAATGGGATGACGTACCGAGGACAATCGACGGCAGATTTGAGTTTGCGGCAGTGCGAGAGAGCACAGAGAATTGGTGTGCCTTCTTCCGACGTGCCTGAGCGGGGAAGACAGTGATAGCATTGAGGTCTCCGCGTGGACATGGCGTTAGGCTGTCGAGTGCACGTATGAGAGACCCGCTGAGACGCCGGTTTTGCAGAGTCGCCGGGCTGGTAAAGGATCGAAGTGTTGAGCGAACGTGTGGTCCTGGGACAAATGCAGACATAATGAAGCCAGTGTGAAGAGATTAGAAGTCGACTACAGATTGCTGCCAGAGCGGTGTTGATGTGCAGAGAATAATACAAGTAGCCATGGATTCGAAAGGCGGGATCGGCTACAGTACAGATGGTTGCGAGTCAGACTGAGTCGATACTGTAACTGTTTACAACTCGAATCTGTTGCTATTAAGACCAGGTCAGTTTGTCGAGCCAAGACAGGGAGTTCGTACGCAATTCAGCCTGCAAAGCATGCAAGCTGATAGACAGTTTTGTAGTGAAAACACCATATCGCCTTTGAATGAGCTGACGGGAGGCGCGCGCTAGTTAGAGGCGCTAACTGTCTGCCGCGGGTAGCATGCCGCGGGCGCCTAAATTGTTGACCCGAAGGTCGTCGGAAAGGCGGACTTGACCTCATCGAATACAAGCTCGCCCTGGCTTTATGCAGGTAAAGTCAAGATCCGACCCGCAACGTCTTCCCAACCCGCGTCAGCAGTACAAGTCACGCATCGGCTAACGGCTGATTTGAAGGATCGTCGTGAACGTTTGTAGGCACGCCGTCGAATAGGGACAAAATTTACGACAAATTTCGGTTGACAGCCTTGTGTCGGGCACCGTTTTCCCCATGCCGAGGGTCGGCGGTTTTGGGACGTTTTGACTCCACTTGACTCGGCGAGAACATCTCTTAAGCCCCTGGTACTGTGCTTCGAGGCAATAGGCTACCTCCATCCATCAGATCCTACCCCGCATCCTCCACACACTTCTCTGTCACAATGACCGTAACTGTCAATGGTGCTGAAAAGGTGCGTTTCTTGGAGTTCTGAGATGGGACGGATCAAGTAACGGAGCTTCCTCGATAAACCACCAGGCCAAGGTGCTGCCGGCGTCCTTTTACGACCGCTTCCTATCCACGGCATGCAAAGAACGGAAGCCGAGTCCTAGTGAGTCCCGTCTGCACGATCTATCCGATTTTTTCTGAATCACACATTCGTAGTTCGTAGCCTCTTCCCTCTCGAAAAAGAACCGGGTGTAATCTCGCTGCTTGCAGGCAAGCCCAATAGCGCGACCTTCCCCATCGATTCCATAAAACTGTCCTCCCGCTTGCCCACGGATCCCACCAAAGAGATACCCCTCACAATTGAAGGAGAGACTCTCGCCGAAGCCTTGCAATACTCTGCAACCGCAGGCATTCCCTCATTGGTGAAGTGGTTGACCGGGCTCCAGGAAGCAGAGCACCGTCGGAAACAGGGTGAGGGATGGAGGCTGAGCGTTGCCAGCGGTTCGCAGGATGCTTTCTACAAGGTACGTCCTATAGATGACAACACAGGCGCGTCAATTTCATGTCTAGCCTAGGCAACTACGGCCGTGCTGAACCCGGGAGATGTTGTGTTGGTCGAGACGCCTGCCTACGCGTGAGTCACATTTTTACCAGAGTCCCGGTTTCTGGGCGCTGAGACGTTGTGCAGAGGAGTCATTCCTGTGTATTCGTCGCTTCACGTTGAGATGATTGGTATGCATATTTTGTATCCGCGAGGTAAACTAGGCTCATGGTGTGCACAGAGGTTCCCACGGATGAGAAAGGCATCCGTTCCGATGTTCTGCGTTCGATCCTGGAAAACTGGCCCGCATCAAAGCCGAAGCCCAAGACCCTATATACTGTACCGGTACGCTGATCTGACCTGCATCTATTGGCTTGTGACTGATGATTTAATTTTCTTAGTATGGCTCTAACCCCACGGGCTACACCGCAACAGTTGAGCGCCGTTTAGAAGTTCTGGAACTGTCGCGCCAGCATGATTTCCTCATCTTCGAAGGTGCGATTTCATCTGTCCTTGTGCATCGTCATCATGCTCATGTCGTCTACGCAGATGATCCTTACTACTACCTCTACTATGGCAAGGCTGCGCGCCCTCCATCTTACTTCTCCCTCGAAGCCCAGACAGGCGAGATCGGCCGTGTTCTCCGGTTCGACAGTCTGTCCAAAATTCTTTCAGCCGGTATTCGTATCGGTTTCACGACGGGCCCCACCCGTCTGCTGAATGCCATGGACGACCATGTATGCTGTCTTCGATCCACTCTACCTTCGCAGTGCTGAAGGGCGGCCCTTTCACCCAGACGGCGCAAGCCAACCTGCAGGTGTCTTCCCTTACGCAGGCGATCACGTTCTCCGTTCTCAACGCATGGGGATACGACAACTTTATCATCCACACACAAAACACGTCGCAGTTCTACCGCCAGAAACGCGACATCTTCGCTGCCGCCATGCGCAAGCATTTGGACGGGCTGGCGGAGTGGAACATTCCCGAAGCCGGCATGTTCTTCTGGTTCGTGAACTTCTATTTGTTTATGTAGCGGAAACTTAGCTTACGGTGGTGGCGATGATAGGTTCAAGCTGCTCCTTCATGAGGACCCGAACGAAGTGATCGACTCAGACGCCGTCATTCGGGGAAATGCATTCAAGGGCGGCGTGCTCGCTCTCCCAGGCAACGTCTTCCTCCCAAGCGGTGCGGCAACTGGCTTCGTGCGGGCATCGTTCAGCTTGCTTGGCGAAGACGAGGTGGACGAGGCGTTGCGTCGCCTGCGTGTTGTGCTGTTGAAGGAAAGGGAAGGGGCGGCGAAAGCCAACTGATCTGGGATTTTCATAGAGGTGTCGCTGGGTCTTCAATATATCCGATATGTAAGTGTATGTATGAATGTATCTGGGAGTTTATTTGTAGAGCAGGTTCTCTTCGGTTCCCTTTGTTGAGGCATTCTCATCCTTCGATGTTATGGCAATGAGGGAGTTCGAGTAGGTAGTTGAAGTATCGACTCGCGTCCGCTGCGTTTGGTGGCTGTGTTGACATGTCGAATTCCATGTCTTAATCCATCCACTCAAGTGCCGTCAACCCGAGTTCTCTCCTGCTCGCTAATCTTTTTCCTCTTCCTCCTCGTCCCTGCGTATGTTGTTGGGAAAACAATTTGTAGACTGCAATGCATATTAAAGAGGGCAGGTCCCGCTGCCAGGCCTGTCCCGCCAAGTGACTTGATTCCAGGAGTATTTCTATCGCTTTCTATCGCTAGTCTCCGCAAGCGTCTCCAACCCCTATCCTCGAGCTCTTCTTCAAGCTCTGCCGTTAGAAAAAAAGGATAAAGATTAAAACAACTATGACAAGAAGGGGATTCGAACCCCTGCCCTCTTGCGAGGATGAGAAACGTGTGAGGTGATTCTGCAACGCAGAAAAGTCTCAGCTTGAGTCACACGCCATAGACCGCTCGGCCATCTTGCCATGACTCTCACGGACGCTGGGAGAATATGGTACGTGGAGTATGGTTATTGACCAGAGAGAAGACAGTACGAGCATCGTACATAGACCGACTCTCCTTCTCCTTCAAGGTGTCTCCCCAACACGAGCCACGAGCTTCGCCCCGCTGATCGCACCTCGTCCAAATCGGGCCACCGCATCTGGTACTCCAGCTAATCCGTTAGGCAGGATTTCCACCTGATTCGGCTGCGAGGACAGATGAGTAAACCTGTCTCAATACAGGAGGTCTAAAATGCCGTACCTTCAAAGCCCCGCTCTCTAGCAGCTCAGTCAGGCTCGCGTACAACTGATTTCCGAATTCGACATCCTTGACCGCATCCACGCTCCCGTACACCCGCGCAAGATGCTTCCCATCTTCTGCGTCCTCACCTGGCTTGCCGACGACGGGCTGCCTCATACCGGTGGTGACCACCATAGCGCCATTCGGAGCTAGGATGTCCCAGCTGGCCCGCTGCGAGTCGTCGCTGGAGATCGCGTCGTAGACGACGGGAATGGGCGCGGCGGTGATCTTCTCGACGGCCGCGCGGAGCGAGGCATAAGGCGTGGTGTGGTAGTCGACGACGTGCGTCGCCCCGGCCGCGCGGACGTAGTCAAAGTTGCGCGCAGAGGTCGTCGAGATGATGGGGTTGAAGCCGGACAGCTTGAGTAGCTGGATCGCTATAAAATTCAATAACGATGTGTGAGTCAGGCGCTTGCGAGACGCAAGTCAATAGACCGCTTTCTCACCAAATTGACCAACAGAACTGGATCCCCCTGTGACAAGAGCGGGCTGGTCCTTGTATTTATCTTTGCCTCCCTCCACCCAAGGCGGTGTCAGAGCAGCACCGCCCATCGGCGCCTTAGGGGCATATAGGCCAACGGCAGCAGTCGCGAGGCCAAGCGGAACTGTCGCAGCCTCGTCGAAGGAGAGGTTGTTTGGGATCTGGCAGCACTATCATTTAGCTGCATATATATGGTGCGAGGACTGGGCACATACTTTGGAAATCCGGTGAGCATCTGCGATTGCATATTGCTGGAAGGTCCCGCGATCCGGCACGTAGTCTAGGCACTGGAGCAGACTGTCGAGTCCTTTAAGAAAGACGCGGTTACAAAAGGTGAGAGACAATCCTACACTCTATCGCCCTTCTGGAAGCTAGTAACTCCCTCGCCGAGCTCTTCAACCGTTCCAGCGCCATCAGAACCACCAACGCCGGGGAAGCTCTTCATGAGCAAGCCCCTCGTCGCCACGGCCCAGTCAAGAGGATTCAGTGCGACAGACTCGACCTTGATGAGTACTTGACGGAGACCCGGTTTGGGAACCGGTCGGGACCCGAGGACGAAATTTGCCCCCTTGGAGGCGACGAGGAGGGCTTTCTGCGTGGTCGGCGTCATCGAGGGTGTAATGTCAAGGACAGTCAGCTGAGAGTATGGACCTGCTCGACGGCCTCATAGCTTTATAACACGGTGGAGATTGCAGTCTAGCCGCGCGGCATCGAGACACGCGTCGCCGCAGCGAATGTGGGTGAGTAGTGGCCAAATAGTCAAAGCAGGACCAGAAGTTTCACATACATCACCTGAGTTATTCTACTGCGTATCCGATGATAGGCCTAGGTTGAATTGGACGCTACTAGGCGCTAGACACGCGCGGTAGGTACAATTAGTTACAGTGGATGACTCGTCGGAGCGTTGTGGGTCCAAACACTGAAGTTGGACTATTTGATGTTTCGTAGGTCATCTCGTGAGGGCAAAGCCCCTGTCATTCGTCAGCAGTTTGACATTGGTGACATAGCCGGCCTACGGGGCATGGCGAGAGTGGATACATCACAAATTTGATACATCGCTTCGTCGTATTCGAGAATTTACACGCACTAAGGCTATACTAGCTGAAAGAAACTCATACAGCGTCGTACGATGTGACTGGTCCGGGCAGTTGGCTTGAATATGATTACCCACACCCTAAAGGTTTTCGAAGGGTATTCTTGCTTCTTCCCGTAACTGAATCAGATCGTTGACTTCCGGATCATCAAAATTCGTCTGTTCCTTGAGAATATCTAGTATTCACGGTTTAGACGTGAGATGTGGTCAGATGCGAAATAGCTACCATTTATTGGCTGCATACGACGACTCTTGTGTACGTCATCGGGCATCAGATCCCCTAGACGATGTGAGATCAATACAGACTCCGGAATCATCTAGAAAGCGGTCAGCTGAAAGAATAGACATGTTCAATGCGGATGCGACTGGCCTTCAAGAGTTGCAGGAAGTATTGACGGCGAGTATTTGAGGGTGATTGGTGCCGTGCCTATATATTTGAGCTTTTGACAATAAGAAGAATCGGAGAGGGACCTACCATCGTATAGGCACTTTGGAGAGTGCCTATTGTTTGAGAGATTGCATTGATAACCTTGACCGAGGGTGGGAGACTGGCAGATAGCAAGTATTTATCAACCGCAATAGCGGTGCTGAAAGGTGTTCAGTGGTCAGTATCGATCAAAGATAGAAACTGCTCACAGTGCCGTATGGTCAAAGAACAAGACAGCATTCTCTTCCTCTCCAATAAGGAATATATCTTCACGGGACAGAATGTCCAAAAATCTCTCTGCTTCGTGCAACATGACTGATAGCTGGGTCTGCAAACTTGTTAACTTTGTCTGTATGGATATATGGTAAGAACAAATAGTGGAACTGATGCCGAGAGTCTGAGGGAGATGCTGAGACATACACGATAGGCTGTCATAACACGAGACTCGCTAGGCCTCAAAAATGTGGAAGACTTCTTGAGCATTTTCAACCAATATGACTGAGGCTTCGTCAGGCAATAATATAATGTCATATACTGGCAACGCACCTTGCGAGCGTCTGCTATGGTCAGTTGCTGGGGATTTTCTGGAACTGACTCAGTAATGGTCGGTGCAGAAAGCAAGTGGCTCACCGGGAAATTGCAACAGACGAGTTTTCTTCTCTTCCAATGGGTATCCAATTACCAACGGCCCAGGAACTATCGTTGACGTTCCGGGAATTAGTCGCGGGAGTGCTCGCACATGGGCAGGTACTGCCTGCGAATGGGCAGGTACGGCCTGCGAATGGGCAGGTACTGCCTGCGATCTCACCTGCTGTGGAATAATTCACGTCGTTATGGTGGCTCAGTGATATATAAAATGGATTCAAACCCAGATAACCACACGTGCGATCCCGGAATCATCTGTCAGCTGGATACGAAGAAAGGTCATTAACGGCAACAGAAGCTACGGCATTAGAGTCACTTGCAGTCGCAGGTTTCAGCACCTTGATGAGCTCCGTCATATCTTCAGGCTCAGGCCTATCATCGCAAACAACTGTAAATTGCTTGGCAGGGGTTCAGAAAAAGAAAACACGTAGGAGCGACTGCAATAAACCACGAACATTAAACAAGGCATCGATATCGTTGTCAGATACAACAGCACACTCGGCATCTTCTTCTGCCTAGTATATAACATGGTCACGATATATGCTTATAGGTAAAGATGTATCGGACACGAACCTCAAGCACATGGAGCAGTAGTTCGTCAAGAGGGTCCATTTCCTACGACTGACTGAACACGCTGAATATAATAACAGACGAAAAATAAGCTTACAAACTCTGTGGAAGATAGGTCGTCATCCACCACCGTAGATGAAAATACGCTGTCCGAGTTCGTTCCACTGTCGGCGGAGCCCCGTTTCTCGGGTCTAAAACGTGACAGCGGGCTTTGTGATTGCTTCTCGTTCGCCTTATGCGCAAGTCCAGATCCCGCCGCCGTGCTTTGTTCTTGCCGACCAGCTTTAAGGGCAAACAGATCTTTCAATTTTCTTAAAGACGACTTGCCACCACCACTGATCCTTCGAATGAAGACGGTTTGATTCATCTTGAGGTCCCTCAGCTGAGAACTTGCGGTAGCCGACGATGTAGAGCGATCTCCCCTACCCTCTGTCTGCAATCGAAAAGCCCGCGGTCCATGGTTCGTGTACGGAGTAACCGTCGTGATCTCTTCACGCCGGAAGTCCAGTCCGCCACTCCCGATTGCAGGCAGATCGATATCGAAGGCAAGTTTTCCAGACCGTTGGTTGTGTTCAGCTGCAATAGCAGTCCACGCCCCTGCCTTTGTGTGTCCGTATACGAGCTTCACACGGTCCCCGTGTAGATGGTGTGCATCGCAAGTAGACGTAAATTCGCGCCAAGACTCCCAGAGTGGTCCAGAGATTCTTCTGAAAAGATCCTCCGGGACTTCGCGGGACTCTGCATCCGTCCGCAGGATGAGGGCTGCCCCACGCTGTCGTTCAGAGGTGAAAGACACGCTGGCACCGAGCTCTAAACCTGGCACGCTGGTAACAGAGAACTGTTAAGATGTCTGGTTCATGCGGATGCGAGTCGTGACTCACGAAGATACCGGGTCTATACCGGCACGCGGACGTGCTTCCGTCACCGTACAGTGACTTCCCGCGTGCGTACCCCGATAGAGATATCCATGTAGTCCAAATTCGTGCTCGGACATAACCCATGGGATATGGTTCGCAGGCACACCATAGCAGTTAGGAAACCCCGATTCCCATGTCCCTGGTTTGAATGAAGCGGGTGGCTGACTGGTGGTAGTGGTATTGTCTTCGTCTTCTTCCGCACCACGTGAAGAATTAGGACGGGTGTCGCCGTAGAACACGTTGAATACTCTGCGAAACCTGCCTTTGCTGCTCGACCATGATAGAACGTCATTTGTATGCACAGGCCAGAATGTGGAGATACGTACTCCATATACCCAACATCGCCTACGTGTACTTCGTCTTTAGACGCGAATGGCTCGGCCTGCCAAACTGGCAGCCCGTGTCCCAGATTCTTGAGCTCCTTCTCGTAGATGTCCCAGTAGCGCGACATTTGAGATTGGGTGTTATGACACTGGAACGTACAAGTTCGTTAGTTTATAACATTGTCGGCATATACCGTCTTTGTACTCGGTATAGACATTGCATTGTCC